ACTTAATTGTGGACGCCTGATTACCTTTCACGGTCGACGGGTCAAAACAATAAACCGCTCTCTGTAAATTGTATACGATGTATAACAATAACAAGCCGCCCTTGTTGGAATGCATTTAATTAAATGACGTAACTCATTTCAGTTGAGATATTCAAACATCGGAAATAAGTTCACTCAAACGGTTTCCTTTCTTCTCCGACCGTGAATGCGCGATTCGTAGTGGATACGATCTGAGATTCCATTTGCCCGTGTTCGCCTGGTTGTCAGTGCGCGGTAACCCCAGGAGCGAGCATGCGATAAAACATCTGAAAATACTTATTTAATAGCTTGCACATAATGTTGTCTTGCAATGAGTACCATATATTTAAGGAGGATGGAATAGAAAGGCTGGCAGCATATGGTAACGTCAGATTAGAGCAATCAGAATTTGATAGATATGCAAGGAGAAAAAAACGAATATCGCCAACACTTGGCGGCGCACTTGTTTACCTCAACGTTCAGCGCAATGTCAATTTATACCCTGACGGAACGTTCTTTTGTCTCTCAATGGTTTTCATTGTGTGTACAAAGTAGAACTGTCTCGTAAATGAAAACTGTCTTAATGTTTTCAGTTTGCAATAAATTGCACTCCCGGTTAATAAATAGATGTTTATGTTTACCACGATATTTTTAAAAATCTGCTTGTATTTTAGTAAATGACGACAATTTTATCAATGATATCACGTTTTTACCATTGTTTCCTATGGTGTGAATAACATGCCATACAAACTGTTGGCTGGTGAAATAGGGTAACACAATTAATATCTTGATTGACGGGGTACTTTCTGAAAATCTGGATAAAAAAAAGAATAAAAAAATTGTTTTTCTTTAGCGTTGTGCTCTAATTATTTGAATAATATTTGGACAATTGTCTCAAAATTCAGTACAGAACGTAGTAATTAATATTATGTATATTATACGTTCTATGAAACTTCAAATGTATATTCAAGTAATAGACCGTAAACGCTAATGGCCACGGGAGGGGTAAGACTTGTTTTTCCTCTCAAATTGCGTTCTGTTTTCTTCCATCATCAAGAAAAACAAATCTCGTAGCTTGTTTACTCTCGACGAGATCTCGGTGGCGGTCTAGCGTTTAATGTACATGCCAATAATCCAATACGTATTTGCATAGCTCGGTATGCATAGTTATTTGCGCGCGCGATCCGTAATATCCAAATATTGTATATATGTGCATGAAATGAAATGAAAAACAACATTAAAAGCACTCCATATTTCAATGTGGACTCAGCAACAGACATATTAGAGAATAATATTTACGAGTTCCAACTTACCCATAAATGGGTTATTTACTCGTGAAATTAGGTCAAATACTATATTAAAATATACAATTTCAAAATACACAATTGACAATATGTTATCGTTATACTAAAATTATTGTATTTTTATATTGTTTACAGCAAGACAAATTGCGTTTAATTGGTCGGGTGTATTTTTGTTTTTCTTTCTTCGGGGCTAGCACGTGGCGATATCTACGAACACGCTAAAACGATCATCATTCAAGTTTTCAAATACGGAAATAATGCTCGCTTTGTGTCACTTCGCGGATATCTGGTCGAAGGGTAATGTGTATTAGGATATACGCGAACATATTAAAATAAATCGGCGATATGCATCGATGGGTCAGTGTCTCCGTCACAATACGGACCCATTACGATCCTTGCTCGTTTGATTGACAGGTACAGGTGTCTGTAGGATATTGCCGGATTTACCGTTCTAATAGCTTCACGCTAATGTGAGATATATTTTCTGCTCTTTTGACTCATTTCCCCCTCTCTCTACACTTCTCTCCACCATAGCTCCCTCGCCGGGTACATCCAACACGAGAACGTGACATCGGCACATAAGCTTGTGTGCGTAATTCAACTAGCTGGCGCTGTACAGTCCACAACCCTTTCCTTCCGTCGAAGGTTCCCAGCACTAAGCTCAGTGACGTCAGCCAACACGAGAATGAACACCACTTGTGCTGGTTTAAGGCGGGCGTTCCACCATTAAAAGTACAATGCGTTTAATGCACAGTGGCTACTACGCAAGCCAACGTTGGATTATCGACGCCAAGTGAATCGTGGAATGTGTATGTGTACGTTTAAGTGCGATTAAACCGACGAATACACTGCAAGGACGCAGCAGGTAAGAAATAGGTTAATACTTAATTGATTTATACCAGTTGAAGTGGCTGCTTAACTGGAGGAGAGACATACACACCAGCACTGGCAACTGTTTGATACACGATTCAAGGCTATGTTCACACCGTCTGTTGAAGTACGGTCTCACTAAATGTTTCTATTCGCCATGTGTCGTACAATTCGTATTTTTGTTATAATTCAATACAACATAATATGCGCGACCGGAACCACGTTGCTGTATTATCAAATGTACATAAAAGCAAAAATCGTTAATTTGTAAGCTTCCCCAAACAGATTGCGACGTGTCCTGGCGTTATTACAATAATTTTGTAAACAACTTCCTACTAAGACTAGATACAAGTTACGTTCTACGTCTTACACACACTGAAACGACCTTGTTCAACCATAGACCCGTCTATGGTTCAACGAATCTGTTTTTGTTTTTTGTTTTTTTTTTGCGTGTGATAAATAACTATCTGTATTTGACCATTCACAGTATTTGGCTATTCACAGGCGGCGCTATCGTAAAGGAAACGGCATTCACCCTGGATCATTTTCAATAACATTGGACGTAAGCATGTAAGAAAACCTGCAAATCGATTGGTTGAACTCGTCGTTATACCATAAATTCATGTGATCGATGAAAGTGCCGGGTGTGTCACAACACAATTACAGATTTCGATGTCATCGCATTGAGTCGCTGTGTCATTAATTTTAACGTCGGTGTCAAGTATGGTTCTATTTGCTGCAGGTTGGACAAGACGTAAACACATACAACCACCGTAATCTCATTGTCATTTTACACAGGTCCGTTCCCCCACGTTACTCACAAATCCAGTATATCGATTGCCTTCTGACAATAGTGGAATAAACAATAGCGGCAGTTCTTCGTCATCAATAGACCGTAATTGCAAGTATCTGTTGTCATTATTGTCCGAGCTGACTGCGATCAATAAGTTACACATGCTGACCATCGTCCAGTTTACTGGATAACATCAGATCTGGTCGTTGCTGACCACCACAACCCAAGAATGAAACCACCATGTCCATGTGCATCAACGATACTCACTCTGTCAATTGTTCCGGCAACTGGACGAATTCGACGATACTGTTTGAGAACTCTCCTCCGTACAGCGTTTGGCAGGCTGTTTTAATAACACTGCTCCTGGGAACTGTCATTTTATTAACTATCATCGGAAACTGGCTGGTCGTGTTATCCGTGTGCCTAGTACGTAAGCTGCGCACGCCGGCCAATTACCTGTACGTTTCACTGGCCGTCTCGGATCTCAGCATCGCCATCCTAGTCATGCCACTAGCGCTCGTCAAAGAAATTAGCGGTACGTGGATGTTTGGCGAAGAAGTTTGCGATATGTGGATTGCTTTCGACGTTACCATATGCACTTCGTCGATACTGACTCTCTGTATGATTAGCGTGGATCGTTACCTCGCTATCACTAGGCCTTTCAAATACCTCACTAAACGGACGCCTCGACTGATGGCGGTCATGATAACGACCATTTGGGTCGCCTCTGCGCTGATCTCGCTGCCGCCTATATTTGGATGGGGTAACGGCAATGTGCACGCCGACAACGACTGCTTGGTAAGCCAGGACTACGCCTATACCATATATTCGACGTTTGGTGCGTTCTACGCGCCGTTGACTGTAATGATTGTAATTTATGCGAAGCTCTACCGGGCTGCGGATTTGCTCAGAAGAGCCGATATTAAGCAAAACCGTGCCGGTATGTTTAATCCACGGAAACCCAAGCATGTGACCAAAATGGTCAAAACGAACACCAAGAACGCTGGATACGAAAATGTTGTAACATTCCACGTCCCTAAGGAATGCAAGCATAGACATGGGGCTAACATTTCCATGACAGGGGAGAGGAAGGCTGCCAAGACACTTGGCGTAATCATGGGTGCATTTATCCTGTGTTGGCTGCCGTTTTTTATTCTTGCTTTACTCCGACCTTTTTGCAATTGTGAGATTCCGTTGGTGCTGAATGGGTGTTTCCTGTGGTTAGGTTACTGCAATTCTATGCTAAATCCTGTAATATACGCGATGTTCAATAGAGACTTCAGGAGACCTTTCCGTCTCCTTCTCACATGCCGGTGGAAAGAAGTCACCAAGGCGTCAGGTAACCAGAGTGTCAAGCTGGCTTTGAAACTTATGGCCGAAGAAAAAATGAACCGCCGTGATAGCGACAAACAGACTTCGGAGCACGCTAGAAGTATGTTACTCAATGGAGGCTCTCGCACCAAGATACCGGAAATGTCTAAACTATAAGAGTTATTATTTTATAAAAATCGCCATAGTGACCGATTTTCGCTTCTGTGCTGTCTGGTATTACAGTACGTGGAAATGTCGATTCTTCACGCACAACAGTAGTCCCAACAAAGCGTACATAGGATTTAATTGAGCGTAACAAGACTGACTGTTTATGCTTCACGATACTTCTTCCGACGATCCGCGTCGTTATGGTAACTGATCAAGCTACAATTGGAGATGTGGACATGCCGTGCATGTCTGAACGACACTGCTTGCAAATTAATTGTGTAATGCGTTCCTGTTTACATAATGAACATACTTTGAACGCTATTTTTTTTGTTAATAATTGTATTCAGACTTGTTAACTCTGTGTACACATTGAGTTTTATTTTTTTGACATTAATTGAAGTTGTGTTGTGGGTTTTGTTCAATGTCAAAAACATTGCATGAGGAATGTCTACCTGGAACATTTTTGCCACTGCATATTTCACGGAAAATACCGAACGCATGGTGTTTTTGTTAGTGTTTGAAGGGGAGGGGGGGGGAGTGAGAGGATGCTGTGCACTACTCCATAAATGGCAAGCGATTACTTGTAATTCCCATTAGACCACGCATATGAGCGCATTTAACATCGATGACTTGATGTACTCTGCAAGGGAGACACAAATGTTATAATGTGAACGGAAGTGTTGTCGGAAGCAATGAGTAAATCAATCAAAAAAGACGTTAATTTAAAAATCTTGACAGTTCTACGGATGAACATTTGAAGATGCGAGGTTCAAAGGTCAAACAACCTGAGGGATTATATGTGTAGCTATCAAACTGCGCTTTGAGGGGGGACAGCTTTGTGTCTCTCCCGCTTTTGAATCTTCTGACGCAACAACCGATTGCGACCTGATCTTTTCGTCAGCATTCGAATATCGGGCATTAAAATGCAAAACGAACCATTTCCTGTCTTGTAAAATTCATTATGTTCGCGACGCTCCAAGATAGGCAAGCCATCAGCGACCAATCAGATAAATGTGCTAATTTGACACAAAGAAGTGTGTTCGCCAATAAAACACGCCACGAGGGAGCTCTTCGTAGTGCAATCAATATTGCAAGTACGCTTTCCGAGCGTCCAATCTCCTAATTGACCCACTCGGCTAAGCCTTAGCAGTAATAGAGAGAAATTAACACGATAGAGATACTAGTAAGAGGTGGGAAATTAATGTATCTTTATCAGATGTAGCCCTGACAAAGATCTAGTTGTAGGAGATGTTATATCGAGCTCTCTGGGAGTTCATAGAAAGAGTCTGATTAGCTACTGCTCTTTCTTAGATTTTAAGTTGTTGCTAACCTGAAATGAACTTCTGGCGGAATAAATCACAGCCGTGGTTAACAAAAGTTGAAACCTGTATAGATTTCCAAGTTTGTTTGTTTGTTTTATTTACATGTCAGATTACTCAGCAAGCGTTATGTTAATATATAGTGTCTCTCTATATAATTACACACCCGGAAAACAAGGTGCGGTACTGAAAGAAAATATAATCGTTTTTATAATTATCATTTTTAGTCTCGATGAATGCCACACAGAGGGTACATATGGAGAGAATTCCTTAATTATTTTTTTAAAAAACATAAGGAAATTTGGAATATGTTACTGGAACTTATTGCTGTCTAATTATAAGACATTCCCTCACTCTCATCCTTCTGTCATTAGTGGACATGTATAACGCTTAATATCGTTTCAAATACTTAGTATGGGATGTATATCATTAAAATGCTCACGTGTATCACTCGGTATCATTTGACAGAGCGGGTCACTTTTTCCCCGACACTCAGACTCTGAAAACTCTCCGTACTAACGGGGTATTTTTTCGAAACAGTTCATACCCTGATGGATTGAAACCATACACATTTGTTCATGATCGGTGTCAATATTGACCTCAGAAGTCCGTCATATTGTATATTAAAAACTAAACCGCTATTGATGTAGACTGGTGATTTCAGGCAACATGTGTGTGTGGCAATTCTTTTCATATTATTTAAATCCAATTATTAATACTGAATAAGCTTGAACTTTACATATGTTTATAAATTATTCAGACTTTTCTTTTTCTTTATACACAGCGATTTATCATGATGGTAAGCATGTTATTTCAGTCAGAAAAATCAAACCCGGTAGATGTAATAAATCCGCGATGGCGTATTCACAAATTACATCGTGGATAAACCGTTATTGTATTAAACGGGGTGAATTAGGTCTATCATGCACCTGTGTCCCTGAAACCAGCTATCGACGTCGCGTAGCAGCACGCTGGGATGGATTCTGTTGATGATGTACTCTATCGAGTACGTAACGGGCAGTATGGTTTATGTCTGACGAAATTTATTGCGGGATTTAATCTCGCAAGTTTTTTAAAGTAATGTGCGTGCCCTTGACGAAGCTAGCAAACTGCCATCATGATTTAATCAAGCATTATAGTAGGAGATAAGATTATTACTTTAAGGAGCGCGAGGACACTAAAACTGATTGTGACAATGTGACACAACGATCGTGTTTGATTGGTTTTGTCAGCGGCCAAGAAACCGACTCCCCTCAATTTAATATGACATGGCAACTTAAAGCGCGGTGGTCGTCGTGCAGCGCGTGTTCGAATTTCATGTAAACAAACAATGTATTTTACACGTGTTGTATACGTCGCTATGAGTCTCACATCGAACAGGACGCGGCACGACGACTGCCGCCCTTTAATGTACAATTATTGGGACTCGTATTTTAATTTTTTCCGAATTTTTTTTACAACACGACGTTTCTGTAATTATTTATACAAAAAAACAAAACATGATTGTACACTATGATATTCATGATATTATATTATATTATATAACAAATACTACATCGACGTGATAATGTCCTCTGTGTGAGTTTTTGTGAATGTGTGGGCTGGCTCCCTCAGTTGGAAGGCAAAATTCAAACGCTGAACTAGTCACAGCTACGGGCGCAAAACAGTCCACGAACGAATCGACGTATGTTTTATGTTAGTGAATGCGTTTTCTGTACTGTGTTGGATTCTTTGGCAACCTTTAGTTGTTCGGCTGTACGGCGTGGCTATCCGAAAGGTTTAAGCGTCGACCCGGTGTATAATATTTGGGTTATTTTTTTCTTTGGAGATGTGTACGACATTGGTGTATGCTGACTAGCTTTTTCTCTTGGAAAATCTTATTAATGTAGGTGTTTCCCACCTGTCTGGGTTTACGGTTGTTGAAAATTTAAACGCAGCAGTAGAAATGAAAACTAAGACGCGTTCACAAATACGGTTTTGACGGGGCCTTGACCGTTTCAGTCGATGGGTGTAAATGCAACCATGCATGACCGAGAGTCCTTGAATATGCCCGTTGCGTCGTAACCAACATCGTATACCAAGTTTGGTCCACGAGGAGATGCCATGTTTACCTAAAAATCGTTGAAATAATAATTATAGCGTGCAGTTTGATGTATTTAGTTACGGCGCGTTTGAATTATTGCATGGCCTATTAACACTTGTCACCTGAGTGTTAACCCTTTGCTCCGTAGCCCCTAAAACCGTCAACGGGAACATTAGACACAGCGGTCGCACAGTTTACGGTCGCCTTTTTTGTTGTATCTGTATAGTTGAACTATATTTATTGCTATGGAAATTATTTCGCGTTCATTCGGCCTTTTCGCACATTGCCATCCAGGTGATAACTGGCAATGAACTGGTGACTGAGACAATGGTGTGTTGTATCGTGATTGGTGACCTGTGAATGACGTATCACTACTGCCGAATGGTGTTTCGCTTCGTGAACAACAATGCCACACACTAAATAGGCTGTTAACAAACTTTTATTATTGTCAGCGACTAGAGGCCACGTCATAAAGTTCATCGAACCCCACCGGGAAACAAACTAATAAAAAATGCACTCTATTAGTATTGTGGCCTATAAGCAATTGGGCGACGTCCGAATGTTATTTAGTTCATCTTATTTGCAAGCTACGAACTGACATTCACAAAATGTGCGTGACAGTATAAAAATGCGTCGACATTAAGCTCTTTCACGGACCGAATTTTAATTTAGATTGTGTTTACTGCACGTTTTTTTATCGCCAGGTGACCAGACGTCATACGGGCTCAGATGACCATGACAACTTGTTCGCGGTGTTGCGATTGCACTTGTGAAATCCATAACAACCAAACATTTCTGCAATTCGGTGGTACCAGTTTTCACAGAGTAGGTCAAATAATGGCATGTATTCCCCAGTTTGTTAATGTGTGTTTTTGAAATCATTACGTACATTCCAAACGAAGAAAATTCAACATACTTTATTTTAGCTGGAATTAATTTTCACTGAAAACGCGTTATGGGTGTTTTGCATTGAGTTTATTTTCACTCAATTTTGATGAGTTGAATGTAAAGAATGGGAAAAAGGTATATTCGCTGTATTTTATTTTCACTTAGTCGCCCATTCATTGAAAATAGCGAAAATAAAGTATCTTACACTACTTAAAGTTCATATATTCAATACTGCGCGCTCACGACCAACCAACCCGACATGCACAGTTCGCGATAAATCAAATATGACAGTAAATGATAATTGCAATTAAAACAAAATATAAAAAATAAAGTTTTATCTTTAAGCGCTTTCATCATGCTCAATCATTCAGCCTGGAAGATGACTTAATCCAATCTTAATTCTAGCATGGCGTATTATAATTATCGAGGTTTCATTTTTCTTAGGATTCGTTCGCACAACAATGTTGATTCCCATCAACAACTTGAAATCTTCTACCACACGTGTTGAATATTAAGTGGTTCCAACCCCTTGTATGTTGGCAATCCAACGCCTTTTACCAGGCTGTGTTTCGAGTACTTCAGACCCTGGAAGCTTTCAAACTGAAAAACAACCCAGAATAAATCAATCTACCCATTTTCAACTATTTCGCAAAAATTCAAACATGATGATGTCCCCACCCTCTCCCGACCCCCATCGCTGCGTAAAAGTGGCTAACCAT